TGCTCTCTAGCACTCCCTCTCTCCCCGACCAGAAAGACGGGGAACCCATGATGCCAAAACGAGGGACGACTTTGGGTCCTCACAGATCCTCCGTTCTTCGGGGGGAAAGAAGAGTGGCTGGTGACACGCCTCTTCGGTATTGGCCAATCGGTGACGGCTTCGGTGTGGCGCAGTCATGTGCTGCTGCAGTTGCGTTTTCTGGTGCTGAAGGGGATTGTTGGGTCGATAACTGGCCGCAGAGCCTGTTGCCTAGGCAGAGCAGGGTGCTATCATTCGGTGATAAGGCAGAGCCTGTTGCCTGAGCGGAGCAGGCTGCTATCACTTCGGCTGTGCGACATCGGGGTGTGGGATCGTTGGCCTTTAGTCCCGTCAGCTCTGGTGTACCTTTGGCTTTCCGGCATTGCATCGCCGGGCCATTGACCAGGGAGGTACTGGTTGTTCCAGCGTTGGCCGCTGTGGGCACTTATTTGGTTGACAGACCCTTGACTGCGGGTGACTTTATTGTTGTGTTGACTTGCTGGTAGATTGTTGACGCAATTGTAGTGCGCTTGTTGCGGTTGCTATGAGCGTGGTTTGTTGTAGTCGTGATTGTTGAGGCGTGGAGTTGATTGTAATTGTTGTGACTTTCATTATCACTGTTGTTGTGGTAACAATTGATGTTAACGCTAGCGATGTTGAGTTGGTGATCGCTGTTGTCGTTGTTTGCTGTGGTGGTAGTTGCTGGCGTTGTAGTTCTAGTTGTGTGGACTTTTACGCTGGGCTTGTTGCGGCTGTGGCATCTGTAACCGTTTTGTGATTATAGCGATAGCCACCTCTTGCCGTTGTTGTGGTAATAGTTGGGATTACCGCTAATGATGTTTCGGTTATGATAGTTGTTGTCGTTGGTGTTGTTGATGTCAATGTTGATGCGGTTGCGACGCCGTTCACGTAATCGTTACGCTGCTCGGTTGGCATTTGTTGTTAATGTTGTCTATATAGATGTTAGTTGATCTTCACGTAGGTGAGGGGCTGCCCCAGTGCCAACGAGTACGTCGGCGGCCAGACCGTCCGGCTGCCTTCTCTTCTGACAGCAGACGGTGATCTTATACAGCTTCCGTCTACCTGTAAATTTCCTTCAATGCGCGGTATTTCATGAAATCATGGATGTGTTCGTTCCATAATGAAAGACCTTTGCCTTGAAGTGCTGTGTGTTGCCGACGTTCAGAAACTCCATTTGTGGCCTTTTTTATCGAACCAGTGATTTCGTAAGCTAACGGTGGGCCTGGCACGGGTAGCGCGTACCTTATGACGTTCGCTCACAGCAGTGGTTGATTATGCAAAGCAGATTGCTGTTGCAATTGATTACTACTGTTTGTGATATTTCACATCATACCGTTCAGTACAGGTAAATGCGGAATAATTTGCTTGGCTTCTGCTTGATAGGAGATTTCGCTTTCATTAGTTGCTGTGGTGCTATTGTTAGGATTGTTATATTTTGTGGTACCGATTTCTGATGGTACTTGCTGTTGTTGTTGTGGTGCTTGCTGTTGAGGCAAAATTGGTTGTTGTTGCGAGCCGTATTATCGGGCGTGGCATTTGCCTTTTGATGATGGAGAGTCGTATCAGCACCCGTGTACCTGTGGCTTGCCGACATCGGAGCGTTGGCCAGCAGGTATGGGTCGTGAATCAACATTGGCCAATCGGGGGCTCTGGTTGTGTTTATCTGACCCTGGCGATGCGTGGACCCTTGCAATGGGCGTTGCCTCTTCGAAATCTGCTTGATTGTCCTTCGGGCATGCGTCACTGACCTCGTAGGCTGCTAGGAACCCTGACGTTACCAGGTTGAATTGTTAGCAGTGGCTGGTCTCGTAGGCAACTTGAATCCCGACTCTACCAGGTATGGGTTTTAGTGAAAGGCATGGCGCCATTGACTTTCCTGAGAACGATCGTTTGTAGGCCCCTACGCTGCCTTTGTATGCTTGCGGGCTTCATTGCATGGAAGGGGTAGATTTCGATGCCTTCGAAGACTTTGCTTTGTATCGCGGCGTAGTGGCGTTTATAAGATAACCCTGCTGCGAGGTGGATTGCCGCTATTAACTTTCTGCGCAAAAGAAGAGCATTGGGTTGGTAAATCGTAAGTCTCGTTTCTGTGGGTTGTTGTAAGATATTTTCGTTCACTTGGCTGGGTAGTAATTGGACTGGGTTTAATCATGGATCTATCTTGTGGTGTTTCGCGTTGTAGGTATGGTGTATTTGCTAAGTTCTGGTAGGCCGGTACGTCTCGCTGTTGACAGCAGTTGATAGTGCTTACGCCTCGTCAGCCGCAGATCCAGCAGAGCAAGACCTGTGGGTTCGGGCAATTAAGCTTGTGGTGTCACCCTGGGCACATCATCGGCATGCCGTGGTCGCATATATTCGCTTCTTTTGCGGCATTGAGTCCGGTAGCCACGCCCCTTTGTTCGGCAGATCACGCTATCGGGCAACTGGCTAATAATCTCGGCATGTTTCACGGGCTACTTCCCGCGGGATGTTGTTCTTTGCAACCATCTCAAAATTGCTGCCGAGGTCCATGAGTTCGTCTACATTGGTGGAGTCCCGGCACCACATGCAATCGGGTTGCACATTCGTATAGATGCGTTCCAATTTTTGTTCTTCTGTCATTGTGGTATGGCGCATAAGGTCCTGCAATGCCAGCACATAGTTCTGAAATTTCTCTCTCGGTAGCTGGGTACGCCGGCAAATGTCATCTTCAAGCCGGGTGAAGTATCGCGGTGGCAAGACGGATTTTAGAAAGTCGGCCTTGACCTTCGCCCAGGATGTCCAATGTTGGTTGTTGCTGCGGTATCACGTTACGGCTCGGTCACGCAGCATCACCACCATGGTGGCTAGCAAGCGATCTTTGTCGACGCCGTATGGCTCTACAAGCTCCTCGACCCGCTCGATGAAAGCAAACCGGCCGGTAAAGTTGAGCCCCCATCTGCTGACTACTTCGGTGACAGATCTCGTGTCGACCGCTATGAGTGGGACTCGTTGTGCTCCGTCAATCGAGGTGGCGAGCTGGATGATATCCCTGGTGTTGTTTCCTGATGTCGAGATATTGTGGTAGAATCCCGTTGCCATTTTGTTATTCGGTGAGATACAGGAGAGGGCGATCGCGGTAGTCGAAATAGTGTAGGGCTAAGCTGGAATTCATGATGGCGATGGGGCAGCTGCCGGGTGTAACGTATTAAAACGCGAGCTTAACTAAAGTTAGTAGCACAATTGATTAAAGGAGGATGAGACTGCCCTGGGCGCTCTGATAATTTTTTTTTCATCTTGTGTGAATGTTTTCTTGTTTTTTAATTTGTGTTGAGTTTTCCTTTTCTCTCTATTATTAGTCCTTTTGGATGGCTTTATTCTTTCTGCTTTATTTATTTTGTCTTCCTTTTGTTTATTCTTTTCTCATCAGCCCTTACAATTTCTATATTGTTAGTAGCTTAGGCATAAATATTTTCTTATGACAATACCTATTTGTTGTTTGAGTTCTTTATACGAGAATTTAAAAAATGTGTTACCAACTTGAAATTTTCACGGCTCGAGACGAATACAGAAATAAGGAATATTGGGACCCTATCAGTGTTTATTTCTTACTCTTCGTCACGTAAAGGATCGAAATTAATACTGGATTGAATAAGCTTTTCCAATCACCACGCTAGTGGTATGTGCATGCGTGTGCGCGTTTTCCTTTAAGGATAGTTGCCCCTAACTTGCAAGAAATAGTTACGAGCAATATGTTCTATAGCTGTCTGTATATTTATTTTACTTGCGAGTATTCATTTATTGACAATCTAAGTTTTCGAATTATCTTTAAACTTCTTATTATTTTTTTATTACGTTCTGGTTTTCCTTTTTTATTTTGACTAATTTAATCTTCACCATAAATTTCTGAATTCCTTTCCAGTTTTATGAAACGTTCCGTGTACGGAATTGCATCACTTCTCTATTTCTTGATTATGCTTGCTTTTAATTAGAAAGGGGAAAATCTAAGCTTTATACCTCTAGGTCAAATCAATGAGAAAAATAGACTAAGCTTTCTATAAAATAGATTTATTTTATCCTTAAATCTTCACTTGAGTTATTGCTTTTACAGATTTGCGTCGCCTCCCTGAATTGAATTTCAGGACGAGAGATTTTTAGCGAAAGCAGCAGTGGGTTCTAGAATGATGTTGGAAAGGAAAAACTGGTTTATGAACCCATGTTAGAATTAATTTGTGATATATTTGGAGTTGGCGATAAGGATGATTCCTGTCTATATCTATCCCCCCCGGAAGCGCTTTATCCAGCCCTTACTATTATCATTCCTGTTAATGGAGGTATCGATTGAGGAAGACCTACGCTTTTTAAACGCTTTCTGACGGGAAAATGTAGGCCATTTGCCCGTTACGTTGCTTAGTATTTGTAAACAAAAAGTCTTTTCCACAAGTTTATGACACGTTCTATTATAAAGTTTTAAAGAGAATTATTTCTTTGGGTATGTACTATTTAAATTTTTATTAAAAGGAACGGACTTCGCTATATTTGCAATTTTTTTTTTTTCTTTGCGAACGGGAGATGTTTTCGAGTGACCCTCCTTAAGGTTTTGCTTTAACTTATATCTTTAAGAATTTTGACTGCATAGCTTCACGGACGTTTAGGGTTTTTGCTTTTCCTTCTTCAAATTAAAATTTTGTCATTAATCGATGCTATTTCTTGTTTAGCCCACTATACATCATTAAATCACATTGGTTTCTCACAGTATTACGATTATTTCATTTATTTTATAACTTAGCGTGGTCGTTTTATTTTTGTTAGACTTTTGGATTTCACAACCTTCACAATAACTCAGAATTGTGCTGTTCGATCGTTAATATTCAGTTGCTTTTTTTTTTCAACTGAATAGCCCGTTTAGAAATGTGGTTGCCATGGCAAGACCTATACGTTGTGCCGATGAACACTCTTACAAATGACGTACGGAAATAAGAGCAACAAAATAAAGACACTTCATATTTTCGTAAAAAAATTTCACTTTTTGCAATAATTAGTTAGTTTCTATTTCCCGAATTTCTCAATTAAAATATTTTCTTTTCTTGGCTTTACTAATAATTTTCCCGTAACTCTCGAGCGTTCCTATCCTACTAGCTTTTTCGGATTATTGGATCTACTCCTATTATAATGATATTATTTCGCGCGGATCGCGGTAGTATTTGAGGTTTCGGGTTGGGTGTAATTTCATCTATATTAAAAGAAGTAAAAGTACTTCACTATCGCTTGTTAAAATTTCTTTTAGAGTTTCCTTTTCCCCTTTTTTTGTCTATCTAAGCTTCACTCCTAGGGAATGTACTTGTTGCTGTTGGTCGGGTAAACTCTCAATATAAATTCCACGTTTTTCTTTTTCTATATGTTGCTTACTGACCTGAACTCTCACACCCTGTTTTAGTGGTGGTGATACCTCTCGTTGTTGCTGCTGCCCGTGGGGGTGGTCATACGTTGAAGGTTGGTTGGCAGTTGTCGGTTGGCTTAAGTGCACCGGACCTGCCTTTAACTGTACTTGCTGTTGGTGTTGTACTAGTTGTTACCTATTGCTGTTATGACTGTTGTTAATCAGCGGAATGGCGATGGGGCTATTGGGGGTGTTGCTGCTGCTATTGTCGCTGTCAACCCTGGTATATTACCCTTTTCCTTTTCTTTTTTTTATTTGTGAACTCCTTAGGTACCTGGAAGAAATAAAACGTTAATACTTGTTTCTGTTATTGTTGTAAATCAAAGGTTTTTTTTTTGTTTCATCCGCTAGGTTTTTCGGCCCCCTCCTTGTTCCTGGGGTGATTGTTGTTGTCGTTGGTATACGACTGACGCCAAGCCTCCTGTGTGCGTGTATACTTGTTAACGTGGGGTAGTTGTCACTTTCTTTCTCTTCCTTTTCTCTTTCGCCCTGTGTGCAATTTTTGTTAACAATTTAGTTTTATCTGTGCTTTTTGAATATTTTTTATTAAATTTTATACAAATGCTTTTATTATATATATAGATTCGCAAATTGTTTGCACGCACACACAAACGTACACACATTCAATCCCTAACAATCATTTAATTCTTGTGTCACAATTTTCGTCCGTACTTCCCTGTAAAAGCATTTGCAAACACATCAATTTTTCCACTTTAATCAGTTTCAGTTCTTTTCAATTTTATATAAGCGTTATTTGCCAAATATTATGGCAGTTTATGATTTATTTAAAATATTTTGGTATATAATTTTCCTTTTCTTTTTTTTCAAAACACGTTAATTTCGGTTTAATTTTCCCGTTTAATTTGGACTCTTTTCTCTTTTATTTGTTTTACATCACTTGTACTTTCGTTCCGCACACATTGACTTGCGTTTTTCTAATCAAACATCTCCGCGCTCTTCGATCTTGTCCTCCACTGTATTATTACGGTGGGCTTTTCGTCGTGTCAAACCCGACTTACAACTGCCAATTCGCCTCATCATTTCTCTTATCTGTTTTGCGCAACGGTTATCAAGCGAGCACGTTGCGGTAACTTATTTACCACAGGTTCTTAGGGGATCGCAAATGCCTATCTTTGTTGTTGCGTGTTCAATTTTAGGCATTTTAGTTTCACTGCCAGTTTATCCGTTTTCTGTTTTTTTTTTCGTAAAGTCAAAATTGAACACTTCGTTGCTTTTTTTTTGCTATTTTATTGTTCACGAGCTTGGTGCTTGGTTTGTTCTTGTTATATTTTTTGAATATTTTCTTTTGTTTGTTTATTGCCGTTTTGCTTCTTTTTTTTTTCTATGACAGTCTTTATTTGTTCAATGATGGTGTTGATTGTTTTTTTTTTGCTCGACTAACTTTAGCTATTTGTATATCCTACCCTTAACCTCTCCTTAGCCTACTCCTAATCTATCCTATTCTATTCTTAATCTACTCCTATTCTATCTTAATCTATTCTTATTCTATGCCTATCTTACTCTTATGCTAGGCCTATCCTTTTCTTATGCTATGCCTATCCTATTCTTATTCTATGCCTATCCTATTCTTATTGTATCTTACTCTCTAGCACTCCGTCTCTCCCCGACCAGAGAGCGTGAACCCGTGAGGCCAAAACGAGGGACGACTTTGGGTCCTCGCAGAACATATTAACAGCTACTTTTATGTGAATGATGCAGCTACAAGCTTCATTACGATCAAAGTTTAAAAAACTAGAAAGATAGAAGAATAAAACCTTGTTAGATATAAGGACCGCTAAGAAATGAATTAGAAAGCGAAGTAGAGCTGATTAAGAATAGCATTTTGAACATCACGACTTAAACGTACCGTAATAATAGAGTTCGATTTTAAAGAATATTTTTCAAATTGTCATCTGTTTATAAATCCAGCAATGGCTTTTTGCTAGGAGTGGGGGCAATATCGGAATTTAATGACTTTTTAATTGGTGTCGAGATATATTAGGTTGGCGGGAAAGTTCTTTTGTACTTAAAGTTGTTTAAAGCGTTCCGCAGGGGCCAGTAGTGGATTCCAAGGTCCCTTGCGTTTGCAAAGCTGTTGCATGTAGGCTATTCTCCAGCGTGTGGCAAAATATCGTGATCACCCCAATCGCCGACTGAAATATCTGAAACGATGTTTGACATATCGCCTTAGTCTGAACATTTACAACCTCGTTTCACAAATAAGTTTTCGCACGCGACGCTTTACACCTGCTTGCCTCGAAGTGACAAGTAAAACCACCTATAGGTAGCAAAGTATGGGAGAGCCAATCTATTAGAATTTACTAGGAACGAGAATTGTTTAAATATAAAAATTTGTATTGCGGTGTAGATGATTTACCTTACGAGCGATCAGGTACGTATATATTATATATTTTCCTTTTTTAACAGTGAAATTTTACGCGTTATCGATTCCATGCAATTAACTGGGAGAAAATCCTTGGCAACTCCAGCAGATTCAAATGTACGCTTCTTTTTATTGTAATCAAATTTATGCTTAATGAAGTTTTAAACATTTGCTTCCTTTTAGCAAGCTTTTAGGTTGTATGATTTTACCTACTCTTTCCAACGAAAAAGCTTCACAAAATTATCCCAACGGCTTCAAGGCATTTAATGTACCTTCGGGAAAGACGTATATCCGTCAAACGACGCAGTCCTAATGGCAGTCAAGTCCTAAAAGTTGTTTTTTTTTTTTTTTTTTTTAAACTCCACTAGTATATACTTTCCAATGCATTTTAATTAAGTGTAAAAAAATGTATTTTCGAAAATAAAACGCACAGTTCAAAGAGATTTTCACATATCGAAAAAATGCTTTGTTCAACAATCTTCTGAACATGTGTGTTTTCGGTGTTACTTTTGCGAGTATTCTTAGTATGCGTAAATATTCTCTTTCAAATAAAAGATTACACTATGACACAGATCATAGTGTTAATATTTGAGTTTCTTGTATGTCATGTAAAGTTTTGAATATGCTTTGGTGAAATATTCATAATGCCCACGCAAGCCAACTTGATTTTAAGGTTTTAAATAAAACTCGACAAAGAACTTTGGAAGTTGATCTAAGTCGTCTTTACTTGTCAATAGTCATTTTCTGCTATAAGAATTCTCGAGTTCAAGAAACTGGCAAGCAAATCGAATATTTTTCACATCAGTTTTTGTTTAAAGTACTCCTTAATTCCATCTAGATTAAGCGAAAACCTGAAACAACGTCGGAGAAGTGTTTCAGAAAGATTGCAATCCTTTAAAAGTGTTTTATTTAAAACCTAATTCTTACTGCACTGTATACTTACTGCGTATAAAATTCTTTTAAAAAAGAGTTTCAATTTTAATGTCATTCTTGTTTTACAAAAATTAATGGAATAATAGAATAATAAACTAAGATAGAAAAGAACATTTCACATTATGCTTATAGTAGAAAACATACCCAGCCTTTCTAAAATAAAAACAAAATTTATATATAAAAAAAACGAAAAAATATAAAGGAAACTTTAAAATATTTTTTGTAAAATTCACAATACAAATTCGATAAGCAATTTTTATATGTACATAGAAAACCAGCCTAGTTCGATCTCGGCACCAAGCTATAGCAAACAACACTCATTATTATTATTATTTATTATTATTTGAAAGCTTACATCCTTAAGAAAATTATTTAAGTAACGTACGTGTCGAAACTAATGCGCCCAATAAAAGTATTTTTATCCTCGAAAATAGCAGTAAATGAATATTATTTCAATTTATTTATGATGAGACTTGCTAAACATTTGTGCCCCATTTTAATAACAAACGGCCCTAGTATCAAAAGAATAAACACATAAATGGACTTTGCAAAATAAGGTGTTATATCAGAAGTGGTCGAAAAAGTTGTCCGTTCGGAACCATATTAAAATGCAGTTCGTCCTTGTACCAAAATGCATTAGTGTACCAACTTTCATCGAAATATCTCAAAAATTCCGACCTGTAGAAAAAAAAATCAAGACTGGCAGACGGATAGACAAACTTAAACTGATTCTAAATTGATCGATTTAATAAAAGACGGATCTATCCCAAGTCTTTCTGGGTGTTCCGTACATTCGCACAAACTTAACAAGAGCATCTTGTACCACAAGAAAAGAATTCGAGTACACACTAAAATTTCATCTAGAAATTTTCTTAAACTCCGCTTTTTTATTGCTGTCATGTTAAGGTAAAAAATTAGCTGAATTAATTCTCAAATTCAAAATTGGAAAATTGCAAATAATAATAAATAATGGGGAGAAATGCGAAGCGCTCATTGCTCAAGTAAAGAAGAGGCTAAAGAAATGTTATTTTGCATAACTGCATAATATAAAGCGTTATAGCCTTCGTTATCTTGTAAATTAAGCCGTACTCCACGCTGTATAAGCTCCATTGCTAGCTCATGTTGTTCGTGAGCAATCGGGGACATTAGATATGTTTGGACATTGTCGTTTGTTGGCTCCAAATTTTAATTGGAGCCTAGTCACTTCACTATATTAACATTCGACATGTAATGGAATTTGTTGTATTTACTACGGCACCATGTTCTAACAATAGGCGGACACATTCCAAATGACCACAAGAAACTGCATAATGCAAAGGTGTCATTGACATGGCGTCCATCGTACGTGGATGTTGCTTTTTACCAAAAGTCCGTCCACGGTAATAGCTTTCCATACGACTAACTATAGAGCCAGTACTTTCGAACGTTTTAGCATAATAATAATATAATGAAGTGAACTCTTCCACATGCTCATCGTTGCCGTTCAACGATTCATTATCAAAATCTGCAATGAATTCATCTTCCCACTCTAAGTATCCATGCCGTTATGTCAAGTTCAATTTCACTGAAATTGAAACGATCTTGAAAATAAAAGAAGCCATTGTAAAAGGATTAACTTTTCTAAATAAATGCTTTTATAAAGCGTCTAGAAATTTCAAGTTTTCTTATTCATTTTCCCTCTTTTTTTTACTCAAAGCTTACTTGCTTTGAATATGCTCAAATCAATATAACTACTGACTTCGTGCCGTGGAAATAGAGGAGCTGCTATTTACCTTAGTATGTCGATACGTTTTCGCCCTCGGTCTTCCTCAAATTTATCCCCTTCAGAAACATGAACAGCGCGTATCCAAATAAATTTAGGCGGAACTACTGCTTCCGCAGGAACCTCCTTGCGAGAAAAATAGTAAATAATGGAAAATACGCCGTGGTAGTTGCTTTGAACTGTAATGGAGGTGAGAAATAATTTCATATAGTATAGAAAATAATCCGTGGTGTAACATATTCAAATTGTATTTAGTCCATGTCGATAGCTATAAACCGGCGAATGAAGTACAGCACAAAATTATCAATTTGTTGTTCATCAATTTTTGAAGTCAATAAAAACGTAAACATCGATAATCCATCCGTTTTTCTAAAAATATAAGGGTTCGTGGGCTTAAACATAAGCAGTTGACAGTTCCTATGGCAAACAAGCTCAGTTTAGTCTTGGAAATATATACATAATTTATCTCCGTACGCTTGTTTCATTAATTTGTTCCTTGGAATTTATCACTAGGTCTCAATAAATTTTTCCACGCTTTTATTGGCAATGAATTATTAAATTCTTGTGAAAATTGCGCAGGGGTAGAAATAAATGAAATGTCCATTTACATTAATATTAAAATTTTCAAGAGCCGATAGCCTGTGTTGCTAGTGCTGAATGTCTTTTTTTTTTAGTTTAAGAATTCACTTCATTAGTCTAAAGTTAAAATAATAATAATAATAATAAAATTTTCAACCTTTTAATTTTTAGTTAAATAAGATGGTTTTTAAGTTCGACGATCGACTGAAAAAGGAGCACGTCACCCAGAGGGCAATTTTGTTAGGGGGATTTCCAACCAGCTTAACGGGGGATACTATAAACGAAAACTTATTAAGATATTAGTAACTTGCTTGATCTTAATGTTAATGAAGCAAGTTGTTCTTTTTTATATTTGCGAAAAATGAAAGTGCTTAAAGCACACTCCGTTATGTGTGGCCTTCTGACGAAAGCTTTAAATTCAGTAAATGTCGGATTTGTCGATTTAGCAGGTATATATCAATTGGCGGTGGCTATTATTGGACGTGACTTTTTTACACTGATACTGTGCGCAAATTTTATAAATCATATTCATAATTCGAAATTCTTAACTCATTTAAAGAGCAGATCAGCATCTTGTTACATATTTGCCCTAAAGTTATTATAAAACTATTGAATATGTTAAACATAGGCGTTTGGTCCCATAACAATGCTGCTCTAGTTAGAGATAGCAACCTTAAAACCTTGCGTAAAAGAATTGGAAGGTAATGTTTTGAATAATGTATGTCACATTTATGTATATCACATGGAACCGGCAACGTTGCGCAAACCTCTAGGTGTAGCCCTTGAACACTTATTAAATAGAAAAATGTCGCCGGAAACTTTAGCTTATTTTGTACCATTCTCTGAGCCAGTACGCCGTAACGCTCTGATCAAAACTTTCAAAACATTGATAAATCCTTCGGAAGTTTGGGACAAAAAAAATTAATGTGCGAAGGTAAAGTATTCCCTAAAAACTTAAACGAACTCTGTCCAACGATACACGGCAATTGGTCACTGTATACGCATTATTATGCATTAGCTGCAATGAAATTTTCCGTTGACTGTAATTATTTCTATTTTTTTATTAAACGTGAACGAAATTTCAATATTAGTAACCTCTTGATATAAATTCTTGCCAAGTTCTAAAATACGTGAAACGCAGTTCATGGTTCGACTACCAGCGAGATCATAAGTCATGGAATCCAAATTGTACTTTACAAATTATGGAGTGCATCCAACCAAAAAAAGTAGTATAACTTATACGCAGCTGAAAGATGAAACTTGGAAAGTGTGACGTTGTAGGTTGCGTGAAATGAATACGTTGTGCGGATGCTGACGTTGCTCCTTTTTTAGCTTTACTAAACACAAAATAGGGCGTGCAAAACATAGCGTATGTTATTGAATGTAATTTTTCTCACACTGCAAAGTTGTCTGATTTTTATTTTTAGCAAATTTAATAAACTTGCTTATTACTTGTAGATTGTTTCAAAGCAAAATATTTCTTCTTGTGAGCTCTTGGCGTGAATATTAGCAAAATTCAAGCAAAAAATCTATGTTTATTTGTTTTTAAAATTATGTTTTTTTTTTTTTGTTTGGATATGGATTAAGCCTGTTTAATTCAATTTAAACCCATAATCCAGTAACGTAAGCAAAAAAATTCATTGATGGTATTTTTGTATTTTTCGGAAATGCAAGATAAGCGCTTTCAAAACAACAAAATTACGAGTATAGAAGATTAGAAAGAAAAATCGTTTCTAGCACCTTCTGTTTCACACACACTTGATACAACACGTCATCTCTGCAAACGACAGCTGGATAATTTTCGTGGTTTACTTGTGTTAGTGGAAAAAAAAATAAATAAATAAAGAAAAATTTTCGAGAATTCAA